AAAAAATATTAATATATTTATTTTATTGGATATAATAACATAATTAAAATATAATTAATAATATATATTTTATAAAATTATTAATATTTTATATATAAAAAATAAAATAAAACCGGAACGGCCCGTTCTGAAACTGGAACGGGCCGTTCTGGTGCATTTTGGGTGTGTTAATTTTGCACTTGGAACGGGCCGTTCCGGATGCAAAATTAACACACCAAAAGTGCACCCAGAACATCCCGTTCCGGTTTCAGAACGGGCCGTTCTGGGTCCAGGTGTTTTCAAAAAAATTCTCATCTACGTGGCGTCCACGTGGCCAAAAGTTAACACCGTTAAAGCAATTTGGACGGAAAGTCCCACATTGAAACCAATTAATTAATATAGGACTAAATTGAAACCAATTAATTAATTCGGGACCAAAAATTAATGAGGGACTAAATTGAAACAAAAAAAGATTATAAGGGACCAAAATAGGGTTTTAACCTTTTTTTTTTTAATTTATCTACTCTGATGTTTCGGACGGCGTGCATCCCCACGGTGGAAACTGATACCAACCGTTTGATTTCTTGATTAAAATAACAGTACTTACTACATGCGGTTCAGAGGGTACTAACGGGTGGACATAATTAAAATCCTCATTTCTCACTGTTTGCGGAAATATATTTAATTTTATTGCATTTTAATTAAATAAGATATTATTTTATATTTAATAATAATTATAAAAATAAATATTTGGTTAAATTTAAATTCACTATAATAAACTAATCAATTACAAAAAATTATACAAGTTCATGGTTGTAAAGAATAAAATAAATAAATAAAATTTAAATTCAAAATACCAGAAATATGAGATAAAATATTTTAATAATTATAAAAAATTATTTATTGATTTTTTAATATATTTTACATTAACATAGTTTTATAGGTAGGGTTTGAACCCGAAAATCGAAGGCCCGTTAAAAATCGTCCGCTTCATCTAATATGGGCCTCGGTTTGGAGTGGGCCGACAGTTTTTGATGAGCCCTGTATAATTATATGAAACTCGAAAACAAAGCAAACCCTAGTGGCAGTGACAAAGTGTGTAGTCTCTTCCGTTAGGGTTTCCATCTCTGTGTTCCTGCGGCTGTCATTCACTTCACAGAACAAACAACAATGGTTGCCGCCAAGAAAACCGTAAGCCCTCTATCTCTTCATGTCTTCGCTTTTACTAAATTGTTTTCAGAATTAGGGTTTTCAATTTCAGTTCGATTTTAATGGATGCAGAAGAAGACCCATGAGAGCATCAACAACAGGCTCGCTCTTGTCATGAAGAGTGGCAAATATACACTTGGCTATAAGACTGTTCTCAAATCTCTTAGGAGCTCCAAAGGTCTCTTTTTTCTGCACTGTGTCTTCTCTAGGACTAAGAGTGGCTTTCTTCTTCCTTTTATAAATAAAAAAAATTGATTTTTGAATTCTTTGCAGGGAAACTCATTATCATTGCTAACAACTGTCCCCCTTTGAGGAAGTCAGAAATAGAATATTATGCTATGTTGGCTAAGGTTGGAGTTCATCATTATAATGGGAGTAAGTTCTTTATCTAATGCTTTTCTTCTCACCCTCCCCCCTTAAATATGTGTTAAGTAATAGGTGGAAAATTCTTCTGTTTCGTAGGTTGATTTGTTCTTGTTGGATTTAACCTAGGATATTGTGTTTACAGTCAATTGTGTATCCTATTTGTGTCTTAGTTCACTATATTTGATTTAGTTTTATTCCTTAACGATTCAAGTCAATATGTGGATACATGTAAGAAGTTATCTTTTTAAATTTATTAGTCACAGAGAAATCAACCTAATGCTCGAGTCAGTCATATGATAGAGGGTCCTACACAAAAATTATACACTGGAATTGATTTTTGTGATCTGCATTTATAGTAGATGATGGAAGTATTTGGGAAGTGTTTGATAAAACTAGCTGAAAGACTAGTGGAAAAGAGGCGCCCCTTTTGTTTAAAGAAATAATAAAACAAAAGAAAGGAATAATGGAGGTTAAGTATTAGTAGGTGGTTTGCAATTGGAGGGTGTAAGTAGTTAAGTAGTTTGGGATAGTTACAGGGGTAAATTAGAAGAAGAACGTGTATGCCAAACCATATATTTTTTTGTTAGCTAAAACCATGTATTTCTTTTATCTATAGTATAGATGATGGAAGTAAGTGTTTAGGATCAATTGGTTATCCTGTTTGTGTCTTAGTAGACCATATTTGATCTATTGTTTTCTTCCTTAAGACCCAAGTCAATATTTGGCTACTTGGTAAGAAGTTATCTATTTGAATTTATTAGTCACAGAAACAAACCTTGTGCTTGAGTCAGTCATATGATTGAATGTCCTGCACTAAAATCTGTACACTAGAATTGGATATTATGATCTGCATTTATACTGATACTGGATGATGAAAGTATTTAGGATGTGTTGATAAAAACTAGCTGAAGGATCAGTGGAAAAGAGGTATTCTGCGAGTCTATGTATTTTGTTTAAAAATAAAATAATATAACTACAGATTATATAATAGTGGGTGGTCTGCAATTGGATGGTGTAAGTAGTTTGGGATAGTTATAGGAGTAAAATAGGGAAAAAAATGTGTATGTTAAAACCATGTGGTTTTTTGATAGGTAAAACCATGAATTCCTGTTATATTAGTATAATTGATGGAAGTATTAAGTTATTGATATTTTGATAATTACATGTATGATATTGGTTGCTTACTTTCTTATGTACTTGTTCCTGTTTCTCTTGATTAAATTATTGCACAAAAAACTGAGATGTAATTTTTCCTATTGATGATAATTCACTGATGCTATGATACCTGCTATAAATTGTCATTTGACACCTTTTCAAGGTTTTGGTATGTTTCTGTCTCTTTACTAAAATATTTATTGTTTATTATAGACAATGTGGATTTGGGCACTGCATGCGGTAAATATTACAGAGTATGCTGCCTCAGCATTATCGATCCTGGTATCTGATGTCTCTTAGAACCTTTTCAATATTAGGAACTAGTTCTTATGCATTTTTTTTTACTAATGATGTTTTTTTTATAATTGTTTTCAGGTGATTCAGATATCATAAAGACACTGCCTGGGGAACAGTAAAATGGTGTTTGAAGTTCCTTGCTTGATATTTTCTGTTTGTAGTTGATTCAGACCGTGGAGAGAAAAATTGATTCAATTGTAAACTTGGTGTAAGGTGCATGATTTTTGGGTATTCTAGTTGAGCATCAAGTAATTTTGACTTTGCAAATTTTTCATTGTTCCAATTTCTACAGATATAATATATAATTATCTCCCTTGCTGTTAATGCCCATGTTAGCAACGTTCTCTTGCAAGTGGTTATTGACATCGAGTTTTTCATGATAACCCCTAAATAAAAACTTTAAATGGATTGAAAATCTATATTCTAGAAAGTTTCTTGGAGGTGAGAGATACCGTCCTGAATTTCAAAGCAAGAGGATGAAGCAGAATGTGTCCCAACGCATACAGAAAAAAACTAGAGTAGTTTTGTTCTACTTCCTGTAAGCTAGCTACGGCGTGGTAGCCTTGAATGTAGGAAATTCGTCATTCAAACTGATTTGAACAGCAGAAAGTGGATCACTCGAGTGGAAACTCTTTTTAGTAATTTAGGGTTAAAAATTACAGCTAGTTAAATCTGTAGTTAATGTAGTTTGATGTTGTGAAAAATCTAAGAAGCCTGTTAAAGAAAACCCTTTAGCTTGACTCTTAATGCAGATATAAGTAGAGGCAATAATGAATCTATAGGCGTTAATCAGTAGAGCTATTTAAGCATTAATAACTACAACTAAAGCTTTTTCTAGAAAACAAAATGTTCCGTTACTTAAGATATCAAATATTAAGAGGACAAAAGAAAGATGTTATGACTATTTTGTCGTGTTTCTCTTAACCTTCATAATGAAATCAACAAAGTGATGATTCGTAAGCAGATGAAAAGAAAATTCAATTTTTGGTTAAAATATGCGTTTTTTAATAGATGGAATAGATGGGAAGTGCGGCAAGGCTTACTAGCAAAATTACATGGTTTATTTTCCCATGTTTGTTTCTTAGGTAATAAAGATGGTGCATGTATTATCACAAAAAAAAATTGGTGTATATATATATATCCTCTAATATATATATATATATATATATAT